GGATGTCTCCCTATAGGCTTGTCTTTGGGAAAGCCTGTCATTTACCTGTCGAGCTCGAACATAAAGCTTATTGGGCCATCAAGGCCCTTAACTTTGATCTCAATGCTACAGGTATTCAAAGAAAGCTCTAATTGTCTGAGATTGAGGAGTTAAGGAATGACGCATACGATAATTCCAGGATCTACAAGGCCAAAATGAAAGCGGCTCATGACAAGTAGATCCTGAGAAAGAATTTTGAGCCAAATCAGCGGGTGCATCTTTATGACTCCCGTTTGCATCTCCACCCAGGTAAGTTAAGGTCGCGGTGGACTGGTCCATTTGTGGTGAAACAAGTTTTTCCCAATGGTGCTGTCGAGGTCGAGGACCCGAGTGATGGAAGAGTATTTAGAGTTAATGGCCAGAGACTGAAGCATTACATTGAGCGTATGAGCTAAGCTGAAGAGATCATTCTCGAGGCTCCAATTTACCAATCTTAAGGAGTTTGCTTTTAACCCTTTTGTATCATATTTTTGTTTCTTTGTGTCATTTGGTGTGTTTTGTATGCTTTTATTTTTAGTTTGATTTTGTGTGCTTTTATATTTGTTTGTGTTTTAGAGATTCAGTTTAGGAGGCTCGACTTAATTCCCATCATCCAGGTGTTCTCTTTTCATGTCTTCTTCATATTGCATATATTTTTAGACATTGAGGACATTGTCTGATTTTGGGTTAGGGGTGGTGAGCATATTCATGCGTGAGATTAATTTTTGTCTTGTTGTTATTGGGTCCAAATTTTTACGAGATTAACTGAGTATGATTTCGAAATGTTCGGTTTGAGTCAGTTTTTGCTATCTTAATTACCAAGAAATGATTTCTAGAGTTATTTTTGAGCACATGCTAGACCTTGTGGTAAGATGGTTGTTGACACATTTAGTTGAGAAAAACTCCCGAGTTTAAGTTTTTCATTTTTTGGTGAGTTATGAGAGTTGAGAAAACAACTTTTTAAACTTTCATTGATCTTTTGAGTTGGTTGAGTCATTGACGGAGCACCTTTACTTGACTTGTGACATTTGCTTGAGGGATGATTTCTGGCTAGGAATAATTTTTTTTGAATTTGAGCCATGTGTTGTAGATAGTTATCATTTTTCTTTTGCATTTTATCAAAAAAAAAAAATGAGAGAGCAAGAGCATCATTTATCATGAATGTTTACGTAGTTTGGTTGCACTGACGTCTTGTGCTGCATAGCAGCCAATCAAAAGAACGCCTTACTACATCAGCTTCATCAAATGTATGTTGTCTCTTGCCTCGAAAAAAAAAAAGTTTCTGTATATTTGTCTGTCTTTTTTGGCTCTTTGTTTGTTTATGGGATCTTCCTCTTGACCAGAATGAAATCCTGAAAGTTTGTTTACGGTTTGAGTGATGAATTGTTCCAGATATTTGATTTTCCTATCATTTGATCAATGTTTGTTTATTAGCTTGTCCTTATATTGCCTTCTCTCACTTGAGCATTAATTGTGACCTTTCCAACTCCATGAGCGTAACCCTTTTGCATTAAAATATTTCCGACCCCCGTGAGGTAAATGGAGTTGAGACTTTACTTTGGTGAGTTGTTCGATGCTATTTGTGTTATGGACTGTGGTAAGAAGGATACGGTTTGGTGCACACACACACGACTCTGGAGTTGTGACTGAAGTAGTTTTGGTAGTATTTTTTGATGACTTACTAATGTTTTGTTTGATTGCTTAGGTGATTTTGCAGGTTTTGATTTGAATTTTCAGCTTGACATGATTTTTCTTTCGCTTGAATTGCTAGAGACTAGCAATAAGCTGGTTGGGGGTTGTGATAAGTGCACGAATTTGCACTTTTAATAATCATAATTGTCAAATTATTTTATCAAATTTGTGATTTTAATTTTAAATATTCCTAAATCTAGAGGATTTAATTTTAATTAGATTTATTTTATTTTTCAGGTTTTTGAAGAAAACAATTGGATTTGGGCTAGTTTACCAAACAAAACTCAAAAGTTGAGCCTAAGAAAAGCCCAAATCGGCCCAAAGCCCATCAGCCCATCGTCCAGCCGAGCCGAGTCGAGAAGCCGCGAACCCATCCCAGCCGCCACGTGTCGTCCTTTGCCGCGCCGCAGGTCCGTGGGACCCAGCTGTCCCCACGCATACGCGCGCTTGGCGCGCACGCCGTTCCCTTCGGGCGAGTTCTCTTCACGGGCACGTCAGGCACGCTTCCTCTTTCTTCCGCGTGGGTCCCGTGTGCAGCAGCTCTCCAACCACGTGACGCCACGTGGTCCCATGCCAGCTGCTCCCCCGTTGCTTCCCACGCCAGTAAGTGCGCTTTGCGCGCACGTTCTCCCTCCTCGCGTGAGTTTCTCTCCCGCACGCGTCCACTCTCCCTCCGCGTGGTCCAGCTGTGCACCACGTCTCTCTTGCGCGCGAATCACGTTGCGACACGTGTCCCACTCTTCAGAAACGTGATGGTTTTTCTCCCTCGATTAAGCCTTGTAACTTCTTAATGGCTAGAGTATTTAGGTGAGGCTAGAGATGATCTTATATGTGTAGTGAACTTATTTAGATTTTTGATTCTCCAATGGTTTGTAAGTTTTATACATTTGAGTAAATAATTTTCTTTTATCATATTTCTTCCTCTTATCAATATATTTTATTGTCAACTTTCATATAAATCTAGTCAAGCTCTTTTTATGTGATTGTTGCATTTTATTATATATTGATAGGTATTGTTTTATGAGTAGTCTTTTACTGCATTATTGCCAACGGTATATTGTCGCTCTTAGATTTCTCATAAGATAATTTTTCCTAATTCTAAACGTTAGAATTTTATTTACTCGAATACATTTTTAATTCATATGTTCTTCAAATATTTATTTTCTGATTGTTTGTTTGGGATGTGAAACTTTCAATTGAGTCAATTTATGAATCAAAATCCAAATAGGTAAACAAAACATACGGAGGATTCTCAAAGCCTTACCACTTTTATTTATTGAATTTTCTCCATTTTAAATTGTTCAAAAAATCATAAAAAACACTCATTCATTTTCTTTGTTTAATTGCTTATTTTCCTAACGCTTTTTATTTGCTAATCATTTCTTGTTCAATTTAACACTTCCTCGTGGGATCGACCGTTCAAATTGTACTACAATTGACCGCTTGTTTTTGTACACATTTGGGCGTAATCAGTTGACAAAGAGGTAACAACTTTTATAAATACTAAATTACAAACTATTTGATACAGTACTGAACACTGTAATATAACTAACTTTTTAATCTTTCCTATCTACAACATGAAGCAATACAAGGATCGATACGGGCACGAGATTCAGATATCATTTCTCAAAAAATAGAATAGGGCAAGATATATGATATTGATAATTTCTTTGTTGCCTAAAATAAACCAACATATTAGTACATCAAAACTATTATTAATATATCAACATATTTATAACGCTTTTTATTTACTGAATAACAGATGTTATTAAAATCATCAAAAGTATCCAAGCTATTGAGAAGACAGACATCCAACACAAGGTCTAAACAAATATCTTAACAATTCTTTACCATTCCAATTCCGAATCAAAAATGACAGAGCCATCTAGAAAACGACTAAAAACCATATAATATCACTATTTCTAAATTCTTTATTTTAACTTTCCTAATAATTATACTAATTTTTTCAAAAATTTTTATTTTGCAGCTACAATGCCAAAGAACCATCAAAAAAAGAAAAGTAAAAAATGTAATATAATATAGAAACCTTTTTACTAGACCTTTAAATATATATATATATATACATGTGTATAAATCATTTTAGTAGACCTTTATATAAATATATATGTATATGTACGTACATATAAATTAATACTGTAATGTAAAAATTCATGATTTTCTCTAGTATAACCATCTTTTCCGCAAAACGCGTGTGTGGACAAAAAAACTAGTCAATTCTATTTTAAAAATTACATATTTTACATATTTTTTAATCTCTTGCCATTTAATCAAATAAAATGGTTAGAAATTGACGACAAGTAGGCCCCAGTAGAAAAACACTCAAAAATAAAAAACAAAAACCGGGCAGGGGCAGTCTGGTAATTTAAAGAAATGCGGGGTTTTCTACCATCCAGTTCCATGCTTCAGCTTCTGCTTCGTTGCGCGCCTACGTTTCCTCCTTATCTCTCTCTCTCTCTCTCAAACCCTAAACAACAACGCTTCTTCTGCTTGGGTCTCTGCGGAATTCCCGCTGTGTTTTCCCAAACCACTGTAAGGCTCTTAAACCCTAATCCCCCAATTGCCCTTCTATTCCTCACAATTTCGGTTCAATTTAATCTTTCTCGGTTATCTTTAAGGGTTTGAAATTGAATCCGAGGTTTCGGTCTGGGTTGGACTCCGAAATCGCATTTGGGGTTCAAATGTGTCGCTGAAACGTCGAGTATTTTAATATTTTGGGCGTTTCCGTAGGGTTTCATTTGTGCCCTTTGACCCGATCGGCTTCGACCCGTTTCGATCCGGTTGTCCCGGTCGGGTCCTGACCGGTAACGATCCGACTATCCCGTGGTTCCTACAACGGCGGCGAATTTCGCCGGTTTTTGCAGGTCTACACGATGGGTTGAAATTTCGGATCAAATTTGCAAACCCAATACTTGGTTATGCAATTTTCATGCCAAAGTTATAAAAAATACTTAAGTCTTGGCTTAGAATCATATATTCTGTGTCCACTGTTTATATATGTGTTACATTCGTGTTACACACACACACACACACGCGTATATATGTATTTGTTAAAATAAGAGAATGTTGGGGAATCTACGTTAATTTCTTCTGAAGATTTTTAACAGCTGAAGGAAGCCGGAAAATATGGGATTTTATCATCCTTTGAAAGTCCTCTACATTTCTCTTATATAGATTTCTGCTTTGAAACCTTATTAAATTGTGCCACAAATATACTATCATTTCATTGTAGTTGTGTTATTATTATTATTTGTTTTTTGCTGACTTAAGATTGAAAAAAGATGTAGTGTTTATGAAGTTTGTAGTATAAGTGTATAATGTTCGTTACTTTTCTCATTGTTTTTGCTCATTTTCGGGGTCAACTACCTTCTATGAGTTTCATATTGATACTGTCCTGCTTCTGACATTCTGCTCTGCTTGTTTTTCTTAAACCAGATTATATCCGTCCTTGTCTGCATCTCTGTTTGGTTTAATTTTCATCACGTTTTTATGGCTTCAGCTGCAGATATTATGCGACATTAGATTGAACCAATGGATATGTCAGATGCAGTGATAGTCAAATCGACCCGATTAAAATCTGTTGTGTGGAATGACTTCGATAGGATTAAAAAAGGCGATACATGTGTGGCTGTTTGTAGGCATTGTAAGAAGAAACTCAGTGGATCAAGTACTAGTGGGACATCTCACTTGAGGAACCACTTGATTAGGTGTCAGAGAAGAACCACTCATGGCATACCTCAGTTATATACAGCAAGAGAAAAGAAGAAGGAAGGAACTCTTGCCATTACAAATTATAACTTTGATCAAGAACAGAAAAAGGATGAAGTCCTTAGCCTTGTCAATTTCAGATTCGAGCAAGACCAGATGAAAGATGAGGGCATTACTTATGTACATAACAACTTTGATCAAAGGCGAAGTAGATTTGACCTTGCTCGCATGATCATCCTGCATGGTTATTCATTGGCTATGGTTGAGAATGTTGGATTTAAAGTGTTTGTTAAGAATCTACAGCCGATGTTTGAGCTTGTCAGTTGCGATAGGGTGGAGGCAGATTGTATGGAGATCTACGTGAAAGAGAAACAAAAGGTGAGCGAGTTGTTGGATAAATTGCCAGGTAAAATCAGTTTGAGCGCTGATAAGTGGGTTTCTCCAGACAATGCTGAATACTTGTGCTTGACGGCACACTATATCGATGAATCTTGGCAGTTGCATAAGAAGATTCTAAGTTTTATTGTGATTGATCCTTCTCATACTGAAGACACACATTCAGAAGTAATCATGACATGTTTGATGGATTGGGATATTGACCGCAAACTGTTTTCCATGACTTTTGATAGTTGCCCTACCAATGACAGCATTGTCATTAGAATCAGTGAGCGGCTATCTCAGAACAGATTCCTGTACTGTAATGGACGGTTATTTGATGTACGCTGTGCAGTTAATCTAATTTTTATGATGGTTCAAGATGCATTGGCTGCGGTAAATGAGGTAGCTCAAAAGATTCGGGAAAGCATTAGGTACGTGAAAAGTACACTAACAGTGCATGCAAAGTTTAATGAGATGGTTCAAGAAGCTGGAGTTCAATCTCAGAAGTGCTTATGCCTAGATAATCCGTTGCGATGGGACTCAACATCTACCATGCTCGAAGCTGCCTTAGAGCACAGAGAGGCGTTTTCTCTTTTGCAAGAAAGAGATCCCGTCTACACAATGTCTCCTTCTGTTGTAGAGTGGGACAGAGTGAATGCCATTACTAGCTATTTGAAGTTCTTTGTTGAAATTACTAATGCTTTTATGAGGAACAAGCTGCCGACTGCGAATCTGTATTTTCCAGATCTCTGTGATGTATATCTGCAGTTGAATGATTGGTGCAAGAATTTAGATGATTTCATTAGTTCCTTGGCAGCGAGGATGAGAAGCAAGTTTGAAGAGTATTGGGAGAGATGTAGCTTGAGTTTAGCAGTTGCAGCCATGTTGGATCCTCGCTTCAAGATGAAACTGGTTGAGTATTATTACGCGCAGATTTACGGCAGTGGTGCTCCCAACCGCATCGATGATGTTTTTGAGTCGGTAAAGGCACTTTACAATGAACACTCTATTTGCTTAGCTTCTCTTGATCAAGGCATGGCTTGGCAAGAGGGTGGTACTTCTGGCTCCTTACCTAGTTCCGGAAGGGACTCGAGGGACAGGTTGATGGGTTTCGACAAATTTCTCCACGAAACTTCTCAGAGTGAAGGCACGAAATCTGATTTGGACAAGTACTTAGAGGAACCTCTGTTTCCTCGCAACGCCGAGTTCAGCATACTCAATTGGTGGAAAGTTCACACTCCAAGGTATCCTATCCTGTCTATGATGGCACGCAACGTATTGGGAATTCCCATGTCAAAAGCTGCATCAGATTCGGCATTTAGTACTGGAGGAAGAGTTCTTGATCGTGATTGGAGCATGCTGAATCCAAGCACTCTCCAAGCTTTGATGTGTTCGCAGGACTGGATAAGGAGTGAATTGGAAAGTTGACATCATTTTGTTGGTCATTTCTTTTTAGCTTAATTTTCCTTTACTCTTTTCTGTTAAACCCATTGCATTACCAACTCTCAACATCAGGAGCTGCTCTTTAGATGCAAATTTCGGAAGTTACAATTTTTGTTCATCTTACAGTAGATGTATGTTCCTCTCTGCAAAAACGCAGCACCTGAATTGTTCAAATTTTAGTCGGCATGCTTCTCTGTCTTCACCGTGTCTTTCTTTTGGAAAATAAAAATGAAAATTTTATGCATTTATGTAGGATATTATTCTGAAACAAAAATGAACGTGGAAATTAGGGATACCATGTGCTATATATGTGAATTTCGTGCATACCATTGAACTATTATTTTATGATATGGGGTTTTTCACCTATTTAGTACTGACAGCATCTGCATACAATAATGGGACTGGTTTTCTGATGTCTTTTTATTAGTTAGTTCCTTTTTTTTTTTTTTTTTGGGAAAGATTATATTAGCCCTTGTTTAGTCAAGATTTTTCGATTCAAACAAAAAAGGTTACAATTTGAATTTAGGAACCAAACGGACCCAAATTATTAAAGACTAGCTAACTGTCAAGCAAAAGAGTTAAAAAAAAAAAAAAAAAAAAATCCACTAACTGAAATTTTTGTTTCATAGTTTTCCATTTTGCGTGTAAATTTTTGCCCCTAAATCTGAAGAGCGTGCGTGACTTTGAAATTTGTTGGGGTGTGCTTATTGAGTACTTGATGGAATAGCGGCCATTGACTTTGGCCCCATCCTCCTCCGTATGCTACGAACCATAGTTCTTGGAAATGATTCCGGCCCATACTTTAGATCTTTTATGCATTCTTTAAATCTTGCTGGATTTTTACTGCCTAATGTGGTACAGAAGCTTATACCTTGACACAATTATTACTTTGTACATATGCTACACATATAGAGTAGCATGTTAGTAGGGCTGGCTCTTGCTTAGGGGAAGAGCAAAATAGAATGAGAATGGAGTAGTTTCTGGTTATAATAAAATCAGTTGGAGTGGTGGTTCTTTTTAAACAAAGTTTCTTCCTTTCTTTTTTCAGAGTAATGTCCTTACTTACAAACTTAAATAATGATGAGAGATGTGGCGTATAATTCAGGTACTTTTTTCTTGCCATGAAATTGAATTGAACCCGTGATCTAACAGATTTACCGGTAGTGTTGTTGGTATTGTAGTAAAGAGCAAACTATTCCCATTCTGTGTTTCTTACGTTTGTCTTTTTTCTCCCTTAATTTTCTCCAATACATTGTTTGAAAATTCTTGTCTACAAGTCGTTTGCTTCCTTTGTGTATAATTGTATATAATTACTCTTAACAATGTTGTTAACGTCAAACATCACTCTCTACATCCATTTCTGGTCATCAATGGTAACCAGTAGTATTGGCCCCACTTTCCAATGTCATCCTTGTAATGTTGTTGGATTTTGAGATCAACCGCCCATGAAGTCATATACAATGGATATCCATAGTGCGATCACAAGTACATGATGTAAAAAGTTAAAAGCACAAATCCTTTTTCTTTTTTTTTTTTTTTTTTGTCCCCCTTTGAAGTTCACTTTCAAAGCACTTCATAATTACTGTCATCAACCAACAGAGAACTTTGGCGAAGGAAATATGTGAAATTATGACAAAGGTAGACTTTGCATGAATTGCTAAAATACCCCTAGTTTACGAACTAATTTGCAACCAACTTCCTTGCACCTTTTTTAGTATTTAAGGGAACATAAGTTTCCTTTTAGTATGGATAAAATCACTTAATAAGATCAATGATAACTCTATAAAATAAGTTATTTTTCTTTTTATTTGTATTTAAATTTGTTTTGTTCTTAAGTAATTTATTTAATTTATTTATTTTTAGTTTAGTTTTCTATTGTTTTATGTTATTTTATTTTAGTTGATTTTATTTAATTTTTCCTTTAATTATTTTATTAATCGTCAATTGTGTTTTAATTAAGTGAAAAGATAATTAAGGAGACTAATTGAGATTAAAAATAATTAAAAAATTAAAAGCCATCAGATTGCTTCTCCATTCCAGCCATTTATCCATTTACACTCTGCTATGTGGCGTGCATAATCAGAGCCAAAAGCTTTTTGTCTCCTCTGCTGACGTGTGAATAAGGAAAGCTTTATAAAGCTTTTGGCAGCCGCAAGACCAAAGATAGTAGCAGCCCCCTGTGATTATTCCTTCAGCACGTGAGGTAATTTCAGGAGATGAACTTCATATAATAGAATCATATAATTAAAATTATTTTTTATTTATATATATTTATATAATAGAATCATATAATTAAAATTATTTTTTATTTATATATATTTTTATAAAAAAAATAATGAATCATAATTTAAATTATGATTTAAATCCTACAACCAAACATTCATTCCATTCCAAGAGAAGAGCTTTTCCACGTCCACAAGAAGATGTGTTCTTGCTTTTGCTCTAGCCATAAGATGTTGCCACGTGGATGATGACATCAGCAACCTAATGCCCCTTGTTATCTCTTTTTCACTCACGTGAAACTGAGGCTTATTTAAAGCCTTTTTCAGCCGCAACTGTAGAAGGAGAACCCCCTGCGATTATTTCAGAGTAAATCACCCAAAAACAAGAAAAGCCCCGTGGAAAGAGTTGAGAGAAAATCTTTGGGGATTTATTTTGGATAATTTGGAGTCATTTTTTAGGATTTTTATTTTTAGTTTTAGATTTTGTAAGGGAGAAAATATTTTGAAGATCAAGAATTGAAGATTGAGAATTGAAGAGTTAAGTTTAGAACCTGAAACACCTCTACATGAGTTTTTTTTTCTAATTTTTCTATCTCTATATTTTTATAAATTGAGATGTTAGAACTCTTAATTTATTTTAATTTAATTATGTTTTAGTTTTATTTTGCTAGAGCTCTGAGTTAGCCTTACTATGATATTTTAAGTTCTTTTATTCGAATTATTTTTTTTTATTTTCTAAAATTAAATGTTCATCACTGTTCTTAATGATTCTAATTAATTGGCCACTAATTAAATGATTGGTTAATCATAATAGAACTGGAAAGAGAATTATGTGTTGAGTTCATTGTGTTGAATGCCATAAATTGCA